CACCTCAGCGTGACAGGTTTTGGCAAAAAACCCAGCATGCCTCTCTTGCCCCATGCACCGGACTCACCTGACCTTCCTCCATGTGACGTCTTTACCCCCCTGTACTTAACATATTTACTTTCCTTTTGCACCCAATTAGGAAAGTTTTAGGAACACACGTGGAGGCTGCAGAAAAGAGAAAACTTTATTTCAAGCCCTCTGTGCTTCTAGTATAGGTCTGGGATGACTGATTGAGATCTAAAAGAAGGGGGAACTGATCACAATGATGCACACTCACCCACACACCCCTCTCCGGGGGGGAAAGAACAACAGAAACCACGAGGGAAGGGAGACAGTGGCTCGTATAAAAATAATAATAATTTATAATCTATCAAGGGGTCACGGGGGGAGGGGAGGGAAAAGAGGAGCTGATACCAAGGGCTCAACAGAAAGTAACTGCCTAGAAAAGAATGATGGCAACATATGTACAGGTATGCCTGATACAACTGATATATGGAGTATAATAAGCATTGTAAGAGCTCTCAACAAAATGGTTTAAAAAAAGAAATACCTATTTTCTTGTATCAGTTGCTTGAAATCAGATATTGCTTTGTAATATTGAAGTATTTTCTCATAAATTATAATAAAAGTATTCTTTTATTAATAAATAAAACCCTTATATACCCCTTACCGGGGCACCATAAGTATAATTGATATTTAGGGGCAAGGGAAAAAAACATAAAAGAATACTATGTGAATTAGTTCTAAAGTTTAAAAGAGTATAAGAATCATGTCTTCCCCTGAGTTTCCTTTTATGACTTAGATTTTGATATCAAATTCTATTAGAATATATAAAACACATGGGAAGCACAACTGGACCAGGATGACCCTAAGTTTCGGTGGGCTCTAGGAATTCCTATTTCCTCTGGAAATGTGTTTAAACAAATGGCCAGGCATGTGTACACAAATTTATGACCGGGCTCAAGTATGGCCTCTCCCCCCAAAATAAAATCCTAGGGGTAATACATGGGTCCAAAAGAATTAGATTTTTTATTGATACTTCAGAAATGAATCTAAGTGAATGAAATGGTTTCATATACATGTTTTTACATCCACAGTGTGACACGCTGTTCATACATTTATTCTATAGTAAAATGTACATACTTCTCGGAATTGGACAAGATTTGCCAACTGTTCAGGGACCAAAATCCATGCATCGAGGCCTGAGCTTATGAAATGACAAGGGTGAGCCACGTCCCCTGGAAGGGCCTGAGGGCAGTGTGAGCGCTAGTAGCCAAGTACGTGTCAATATTGGCATGTGTAGGAAGCAGTCGCACAAATTCTTCAAAGTGTGATTGCCCCATTTGGAAATTTTACAAAAGGGTCTATTGAATTTTCCGACTGAATCTGCCCAGAGATACGAGGGTCCAGGATGGTTTGCTTTAAGTGTATTTCTGTAACTGTATTCCTAGCTGACTATTCTTCGATTCCCTAATCACAAAGAAATGCATTCGTATGAAGACACGCAGCTGTAGGCTCAGAATGCTGATGACACCTCTCCATCTCGGAGTTATGTAAAAAAACCGGTTAGTGGTAATTCTACCAAATACTTGTAACATTCACATGAAATTTTAATTGATTTTCAAACAGTACAACTGTGCCATGAATCCAACCACATAGAATATAAGCCGTAAGCCCACTAGGTTTAAGCAATTGTGTCTTTGTAGACTAAAACTATGTAAAATAAAGTCTGATAACTCCCTGGTGTTAGAGGTAGACAGTTTTCTTTCAAATCCTAGGTTTGGTCCTTTATTTTATTCAGCAGTGAAAGCCATGAATACAGAACAAATAACAGCTGTTACAATTCTCAACCATGACTTCTAACGTCAGAGAATTCAAAGTATGAACATAGTACACAGTAATGAAAAGTATCAAAAATCAGTTTACCTCAAAAAAGATAAATAAAACAGGTATATTCCACCAATACATAAACAGATGTTTGTGCTACAGTTAAAATTTGCTGTATACAAAAGATCATAGTCCCCATCATCATCTTATGATAGAAGCAAGAATACATGAGCCATTTAAATTGTCAGACATTATGCTTTATAAGGTATGCACAGAAGGTCAAGCAATAAATACATACATTAGTTCAAAGCCTTACAATAGCTACGCAAAGCAGATGCAGAAAAGCAGGTTTGCTATTACTAGCAAGCAATGATATAAGAGTAAAAATTCATGAAATGCATTAAAGCAACATTTTTTTCTTAGAAAAAGTCTGGTCATTTATGGGTCCACCAACATTTTTACATAATATGCACAATTATCAAAATACAGACCAAGCATTTCAGAAAACTCCAAAAAACCTAAAATCTATTTTCAAAGCAATTGCAGTTTTGGAGGTTTTTCTGGTATAATGTGCAAGCAGCTATTTTTTTTAATTGTATTCATATAAAACCCATGCAAAACTCTACAGGTATATGCATTCTGTGGCTGAGACTTCCTTTCAAAAGTTTTGTAACTGAGGTATGCATACTTTAGCATCGTAGTCTTAGGCCACCCTCCCGGTTGGTACAGCTCTCCCAGTTACTTCCAGTCCATCAAAGCCTTGTGAACATGCACCTGAAAGACCCATTTTCCCTTTCAGATCATCCTTAGAGTAGGATCTGAGATGATGGAAACACCATCCTTCACAATGCCAATCTCTCTTTTGATACCAGTATCGTAAACTTCCCATTCGTTGATCAAGACCCAAAGACAAACATAATGAAAAGTAGCAGTTACTGTGACGTTCTCACGTTTCATGCAATCTGCCGTAATTGTTCTTTTTTTTTTCTTTTTTCTTTTTTTTTTTTTTGCAGAGGTAGAAGCTTTCAGAAAGCCTTTTGGGTAAAAGTGGGAAAACCCTTTTGAAAGCCGTTATGTCCTTTTATTTGGT